TCCTTCCGAGGAGTGGCTGGTGGGTTTGAACCGCCAGCCGTCTGGTTAGCAGGCAAGTGTCTTAGCCACTATGCTACCAGAGCTCCCTGTATCTATGTATACCAAACCAAAACCACACTTATTGCTGCTGAATCAGATCCTACTCATAGCGACTTCTCCTCGGATTTCCGAGGCAGTATCACTACGGAAGTAGATTGCCCAGCCTTCCTTCGGAGGAGTGGCTGGTGGGTTTGAATCCCCAGCCTTCTGGTTACCAATCAGATGCCTTAGGCACTACTCTACCAGAGCTCCTGTATATGTGTATAGATACGTGTAGATATATATGTCTTGAGTTATATTAAGCTTTATTTGAAACACATGAATTATGTTAAAACCATAGGAAAATATTTAAATGCAGAAAATGTAACCTCTGTTTTTATTGTCTAAAAATCACCGGTGTAAATTTTGATTAAACCAAACTCCCTGCCATTGAGTCATTTCTGATTCATAGTGACCTCTCCTTGGGTTTCCAAGGTGGTACCTCTACAGAAGTAGATTTGCCCTGTCTTCCTTCTGAGGAGTAGCTGGTGGGTTTGAACCGCCAGCCTTCGGGTTAGCAGTCAAATGCCTTAGGCACTATGCCACCAGAACTCCCTCAGTTTTGCTTAGGGACTATTGGACCTTTACCTATTCAAGTTTCAGTGAATCTTTTTTCTTTTTAAAGACTGTTTTTTTACTTAAAGGGCAAAATAGTATATATTGGATTAAAAACTGGGTAACTGCATCTTAGATTATTATCTCTGCAGACTTAGAAATCATCGTAGATGGATAGATGTGTGAGAAAGCAAGTATTAGTAAAGTTTAATTGTAGAATCTAGGTAGTGAGTATCATAGAGGTTGACTGCACAGTTCTTTCACCTTATGAATGCTTGAAAACTGTCAAAACAAAATGTTGAGGGAAATCATAGACTAAGAAAACATCTGTTTAAATTCTGCTCTGGAAGGATTTGATTAGTTTAGGTAATCTGTCATCTTCTGTCCGTAATATTCATGATTTATTTCCAAGATTTGAAAACTTAGCTGAAGGTTTGGGTATGCTTAATTTTTTTTCTTTGTCACTTTCAGTTTTTCTTTAACATCAGCACCAATGACCAAGAAGGCCTCTACAGTCTTTACTTTCATAAATGCCTTGGAAATGAAGTGCGGTCTAGTGACAAGGTTTCATTCAGCCTTGATGTGAGTACCGTATGGAGATTGTTCACATGGGGTGGTCTGAGGGTTTTGTCAGCAGTGTAACACACAAGACATTTATTTCTGTATAAGCGTAGATTTTAAGAACACTTAAACAGAGTAAGAGAAAAATGTGGCCAGACTAAAATCCCTGCCAGTGGAATACTTAGGAGGAGTTATAAAAAAGGAAATATAAAGCAATTTAGAATATGTTTTTGCACTTTAACCTAGGCATTAACAGTGTGGTTGTGATGTGTTGGTATTGACTTTCTTAAGCTTAAGTGAAACAACTGAGATTCCAGATTGTTGAATAAGGGATGATCCACTCCTTGAAAGTAAAAATTAATTTCATGTTGATTTCAGATTGAGATCACAGAGAAGAATCCTGACAGTTACCTCTCAGCAGGAGAAATTCCTCTCCCCAAATTATACATTTCCATGGCCCTTTTCTTCTTCCTTTCTGGGACCATCTGGATTCACATCCTTCGAAAACGACGGTAAATTATTACTTCCGTCTTCAGATTTGTATGCTTTCACCTTTTGCTGGCTTCTGAACGTTGGCGGAATTGGCTCTAGTTAGTAGCCTCCTTCTCTTCAGAGGGCATCTTCCTGGAATACTAGGGAGCCTGTGCAGGAGGCCTGCAGTGTGGGAGGCTTTTGCATTCCTTGATGTTTGTTCACTTCCCATTACTTTGTTCAAAAAGTAAATCCAAATATAGTCATGTATTGCTTAATATCTATGGTACATTCTGTGAAATAGGATGTTAGGTGAAAAAGGACGTTATGTGATTTGCCTGTTGTGTGAATACCATATTGTAGTCTGGTCCTGCTTTTTCTTTAGGCATCTCAAACAGCCTTTGTGCCTTAGCAGTTGTTGTCAACATGCTGAGAAAGATTTGCTTTTGTGTTTGGTTCTCAATCCACATCATTAGCAGTTTCTCCATATCTTACACATGTTCCTCTTGCTTTTTTGTTAGCCTTGTATTGGTGCAGTGGTTAAAGCAATTGGCTGTTAACCAAGAGGTTGGTGGTTTGAACCCACCAGCCGCTCTGCAGGGGAAAGATAAGGCAGCCTGCTTCCAAAAAGATTAACAGCTTTGGAAACCCAATGAGGCATTCTTCTGTCCTGATGAGTTGCTGTGAGTTGGAATCAACTTGGTGGCAGTGGGTTTGGTTTTGGTTTTTGTAGCTTTCAGTGGAGTCAATCCTTTAACAGCTTGGACAATATTTTTCTTTGTTTTTGAGGATCGTTGTGAACATGACAAGGCTAAATCATGAGCAATGGCATTCCCTGATTTTCTTCCAAATCAATATTCTCCTTTGCCTCTTGTTCCTGCTGTCACTAGTTTTGTCACTGGTTTTGCTCTGTTTGGGATCCATGATGCACTTCATGGTAATATTTTTGAAAGAAAGTTAAACAGATAATGCTGCAACACTCAGGAGACACACAGTATACACAGTATACGAGATTGGATGCTGCTGCCTGAGTCAAAACATACACTGTTATATAGTGTAAACTTTTTAGATAGAGAATACAGTACAGTAACATACATAAGGCAGTAACTTAGGCATTTATTATAACTAGTATAGGTTATATATGTATTGTATCATTATGGCAGCGTAATTGCTTTGTATACAAAAGATGAGATACACGTGTTGTGTGCAGGAAGCTGTTGTGTTGGCTACATCTCATTTTCTGGTTGAGATTTCTGAACTCTGCTATTACCTTATGGGACTATGGACATATATATCCCGTCGGACTTTACCTGAGCGGACATTATACACCACATGACTGTATTTGATACATGAGCAAAATAAAATGTATAAGCAAAGTGTTTCCAGAGATACCGCAGTCCAGGACTCAGTGTGAGAACATTGATCCTATATACCAAAAAAAAAAAAAAAAAAACACCTCATTGCTGTCGAGTCGATTCTGACTCATAACAATCCCTCCTTGGGTGTTTGAGGTGGTATCTCTACGGAAGTAGATTGCCCAATCTTCTTCCGAGAAGTGGCTGGTGGGTTTGAACTGCCAGCCTTCTGGTTAGCAGTCAAATGCCTTAGGCACTATGCAACTAGAGCTTCCTTGATCCTGTGTAGTGGCTGTTTATTCTAAAGAGATTAATGAAGAGGACCCACTGTCTGAATGAGAGAGTAGAGGTTTTATTTAGTGAGTGAAAGCATCAGCTCAAAGCCTGGCTGGGATAGTCTCCTTGTTGACCTCCACATGCTTGTGCTGGAGGAAACTTCAAAACCTGTAGGCCTTGTGACCTCCTTCTGAAACCTCTGAGGCTTTTACTTCTCTTTGTTAATTCTTGAGGAGAGCAGCTACATGTGCATGGAGCTAATGTTTTATCCTCTGTCTCCCTCCCAAGAAAGTTGAGAAGAAAATTTAGTTTTTAAAAAAGTTAGAGAATAGTACAAAAGGTATGTTATATTACAAGACTGTGAGCTAGATAAATGGTGGTAGGTGAATATGGTATTGTAATATGAATTAATAAAATAATTTAGTACCTCTAAATACCAAGTAGGAGCTCTGGTAGCATAGTGCCTAAGGCACTTGACTGCAAACCAGAAGGCTGGCAGTTCAAACCCACCAGCCACTCCTCGGAAGTAGTGATACCACCTCGGAAACCCAAGGAGGAGTCACTATGAGTTGTGTCTGACTCAACGGCACATAACGACAACAACAAATACCAAATGCTTCTCTTTCTGAAGCCTTAGATCAGCAATTGAGACTGCATTAATCCCTCGTGGCCTGATTGTCTGCTAGTAGCAATCCTCAGAGTCTAGGCTGTTGGGCTCTGGTTGGGTACAGTTGCTGATTGCTGTTCTTGTAATATCCTTTATAACTGCTAGATGCAGAGAGCTGCTGCTTTTGTGGAGAACATACATAATCATGTTCTGGTTCTAGATTGTCAGACAGCCATTACTGAGTAAACAAAGAATCCTATCATTTCAGACCCTACACACGGTTTTTTGTTTTTCTTTTCAAGAAAGTTTTGCTTTTGCCATTATTGGAAAAGTAAGAAGTAGGTGGCAGGAGACTAGATTTCAAGTGTAAACTTTGACTCTTATAACCTTTGTGCTTTCTTCACTTAAGTCTTTTTTTTTTTCTTGGCTACAAAACTGGGACAGTAATAACGACTCTGCCTTCCTCTTAGAGGAAGTCAGGATCCTTAGACTTGTTACATGATCCCCAAAAGGTAATGTATATAAGGGTGCTTTGCAAATATGAGATTCATATAAAATATCTTACTAACCAGGTATTCACTGGTATTTTAATTTCCCTTTATTTAGTAATCCAATAGTTATTTTCACTTGTTCACTTACATAATATTGTGATGACAGTTTTAAAGCTATGGCTAAATAAGACTGGCCTATTTTGTATGAGCTGTGTTTTTAACTTTTTGTTGAAGAATAGTATCCATAACAGAAATATCTTTGTATTTTTGAGCCCTCTGGCCCTATCCCCAGGAGTCTCGCATAGTCTCTGTTAGTTGGAGATTCAGACGATGTAAGGGTGTATGACTCTAAAGCAGACAGGTTAATTTGAAGCTTAGAGCTCCTTAGAGGTAGGAGGAGCTGAGAGATCTTCCCAGATGCTTCCTTTTACCCATGATTTTATTGAGGCCTAGAGAGAGGACGTGAGAGACGTTGAGCAAGCTGGGGCTGGAACTCAGATGTGCTTGTTAGTGCATGTCTGGCTCATCTCAGTTCTGTGAGTTCTGTGTTGGGCCCCAGAGTGTAGGGAGGGGAGTCCTGGGAAAGTGGTGAGGCGGAAGCAGCAGCTGATAGTTTTTGAGTGCCTGCTTTGTGCCCCGTCAGGTACTTGATGTTGGTTAGTTCAGTTAATCTTCCATCAGCTGTTGAGTTAATCTTCCAGTGGCTTCATTCTCAGGAGAGGTTACTGAGGCTTAGAGAGGTTAAATTTGTAAGGACAGAACCAGTGTTTGAGCCCAAATAGGTCTGGCTGCGTTCCCTATATTCTTTTTTATCACATCACTGCCCT